TATTTATAAATTAATTTTTCTTTCATAAAATATTGCAAAGCTACTTAAACGCCTTTTTCTTTTCAATTTATATGCCCCTCGTTACCTCGTAACCACATGTCTTATGTAAATATTTAAATAGCATATGACAAAGACAGACATAAGTCAAAAAAAAAAAAAAAAAAAAAAAAAAAAAAAAAAAAAACAGAATTCAAAGCTGAAATTCCGATTATTGTTTGTAGTGTGGTCAGAGTGTTCACCTTTGCCACCACCGTATGAATTCCTATCACCTGTAAAGTCCTCGACTGAGGAATTTGCTTTCATGTTTATGTTGGAGCTTATTGCGAAATGAATTTAAAACAATTGAATTGCCAAATAAAGTTGTTGCCAAGTAACAAAAGTACCAGCCACGCCCATACCACTCCACAAAGCTGATAAAAATATGAATGAATGAATGAATGAAAGCCAAATATTTGCTAGAAAATTCCATTGACATGCAATCATCAGCTCAGAGACTGAGACTGGGCCTGCGGTTGATTGATTTTTAGCAGACACTTCTAACGAAATGTATATTTATTATTAGCATTGATCTGCAGCTCGCGATAAAATGCATTGACTAAGTATTGAACAAACTGAAGCTGGCTTCAATGGCTATGCATTTCTCCAGCAAAGTATAAAAGGAACGGAATTTGCTGGGGAACTTTCTTGGCGAATCGAAAAGAAAATTGAATATTTGGCCAGAGCGAATTTATGTGTATGGCTTTATGCTGCAAATGCCACATTTTGTGAGACTATGCTGCTTGCAGGAGTCTCTCTCTCTCTCTCTCTCTCTCTCTCACACACACACTCTTTCTCTCTATGCGTGCGTGTGTGTGTGTGTGCGCTGCCTGCTTATCAGTCGCTGCACAGCATACTTTTTGGCGCATTTAATTTCAGAAGAAGTGGCGACCTCGACGCCTTTTCCCGATTTGCAGTCAATGAAGCAGAAAACTGAAAACTTTTTCTTTGCACTCTATTAAAAATAATGGCCGCTGACAACGAAGCCACTCGCCCATCGCCAAGCGCCAAGCGCCAAAGACGCCACATGCAGTTCCCATGTGTCGGAATGCCGCGGCGGCTCTGCTCTGTGCCAGCCTCGCAGTGGCTCGCAGTGGTTCACAGTGTGTGCACGAGACAGCAGCTGCCATAATATTAATATATATRTATGTATGTATGTGTGTGTACTTCTGGTAATTTCTCATAGCGCTCCATTCATAGAGCCTGCGCTGCCAATGACCACTCGCGAGTGCCTTTCAAAGGGCCGCTGCTTGAACTGTGGGGCAAAAGTTCAACCACTAGAAATTGATTGAATTTTCTCTTTTTATAAAGTTAGACATTGTGAATAATTTAAGTGCAGACATAGCTGAAATAAATACAGAAAAATTTAATGTATATATTTAT